GGAGCCCCTAGTAGCGTCCTTGCTCCTAGTAGCGATGCCCTTTGCTCGGTCAAAATTTCATTCGGAAACTAAAAGGTGATCTTCGCGAACTTTACGGTTTTCTTCGGAAACTTTACGGCTTTCTTCGGAAACTAATCTTTGGAAACTACGCGGTTTTCTTCGGAAATTTTACTGTGTTCTTTGGAAACTGTTAAAGGAAAACTAGTCTTCGGCAACTCAAAAGTGATCTTCGGAAACTTTACGTTTTTCTTCGGAAACTATTCTTTGTAAATTCTACGGTGTTCTTCAGAAACTAATGTTCGGAAACTACAAAGAGTCGAAGAGCAACATCAAACCTGCACGGAAATCTTTCTGCAGATCGCAAAACAAGCATGTATATACCGTAGCCGTCACAAGGTACATCAATATCCCACCTACCCCCCCACCCACCCAGTGCTCCTTCATGCAAATTAGTTGCAACATTGTAAAAGTTCTGAGGAATACTTTCTAAAAAGTTAGCTTTCTGAAGATCGCGAAATAGTCTCTGAAGATCGCGGACTAGTTTCTGAAAATCGCACAAGATTTTCTGAAGATCGCAAAATAGTTTCTGAAGATCGCGAAATAGTTTCTGAATCGCTACAAATTATTGAGGGGGGAGGACCCTAAATGTAACTTACATTTTCCCTAGATTTGAGGGTCAGAAATGTAATATAACATTTTTGTTTGAGACGTCAAAAATGTAATGTTACATTTTTGACCCCCTAGCTTGCATTTTTTTTTATTGAACATAAGCACGAAATCTAACTCCTGTAGAACCCCTCCCCACCACTTTCAGCCAATATTAGCTAAGTTACATTTTTCCGGTCTTTTAGGCCATATAATAAAAATGTAACATTAATTGTTGAAGGCTCTTTCCCTTTGAACAATTTAGAGAAAAACATGTATATACATCTAGAAAGAAGATATGCCTTAAGAAGGACAAATCTACTTTGGACAAAAAATAATAAGCTGGGAACGTAGGAGAAGCCAAAACTGGTGAGAGCACCAGCAAATCCAAATAAAAAACATCTAGAAAAAAGATAAGCCTTAAGAAGGACATACCTATAGACTTTAGACGGAAAATGTAAGCTGGGAACCTGGGAGAAGCCAAACCTGCTGAGAGCACCACCAAATCCAGAGAAACAAATCTAGATACATCTAGAAAGAAGATGAGCCTTAAGAAGGACATATCTACTTTGGACAGAAAATGTAAGCTGGGAACCTGGGAGAAGACAAACCTGCTGAGAGCACCAGCAAATCTAGAGAAACAAATCTAGATACATCTAGAAAGAAGATAAGCCGTAAGACGGACATACCTATATACGTTAGACAGAAAATGTAAGCTGGGAACCTGGGAGAAGCCAAAACTGCTGAGAGCCCCAGCAAACCCAGAGAAAAAACATCTAGATACATCTAGAAAGAAGATAAGCCTTAAGAAGAACATATCTAGTTTGGACAGAAAAAACATAAGCTGGGAACCTGGGAGAAGCCAAACCTGCTGAGAGCACCAGCAAATCCAGAGAAAAAACATCTAGATACATCTAGAAAGAAGATAAGCCTTAAGAAGGACATACCTACTTTAGACAGAAAATGTAAGCTGGGAACCTGGGAGAAGCCAAAACTGCTGAGAGCACCAGCAAATCCAGAGAAACAAATCTAGATACATCTAGAAAGAAGATAAGCCTTAGAAAGGACATATCTACTTTGGACATAAAAAATAAGCTGGGGACGTAAGAGAAGCCAAAACTGGTGAGAGCACCAGCAAATTCAGAGAAACAACATCTAGAAAGAAGATAAGCCTTAAGAAGGACATACCTATATACTTTAGACAGAAAATGTAAGCTGGGAACCTGGGAGAAACCAAAACTGCTGAGAGCACCAGCAAATCCAGAGAAACAAATCTAGATACATCTAGAAAGAAGATAAGCCTTAAGAAGGACATATCTACTTTGGACAAAAAAACATAAGCTGGGAACCTGGGAGAAGCCAAAACTGCTGAGAGCACCAGCAAATCCAGAGAAAAAACATCTAGATACATCTAGAAAGAAGATAAGCCTTAAGAAGGACATATCTACTTTGGACAAACAAATAATAAGCTGGGAACGTAGGAGAAACCAAAACTGCTGAGAGCACCAGCAAATCCAGAGAAAAATCATCTAGATACATCTAGAAAAAAGATAAGCCTTAAGAAGGACATATCTACTTTGGACAGAAAATGTAAGCTGGGAACCTGGGAGAAGACAAAACTGCTGAGAGCACCAGCAAATCCAGCGAAACAAATCTAGATACATCTAGGAAGAAGATAAGCCTTAAAAAGGACATATCTACTTTGGACAGAAAAAACATAAGCTGGGAACGTAGGAGAAGCCAAAACTGGTGAGAGCACCAGCAAATTCAGAGAAACAACATCTAGAAAGAAGATAAGCCTTAAGAAGGACATACACATATACTTTAGACAGAAAAGGTAAGCTGGGAACCTGGGAGAAGCCAAAACTGCTGAGAGCACCAGCAAACCCAGAGAAAAAACATCTAGATACATCTAGAAAGAAGATAAGCCTTAAGAAGGACATATCTACTTTGGACAGACAAATAATAAGCTGGGAACGTAGGAGAAGCCAAAACTGCTGAGAGCACCAGCAAATCCAGAGAAAAAACATCTAGATACATCTAGAAAGAAGATAAGCCTTAAGAAGGACATATCTACTTTGGACAGAAAATGTAAGCTGGGAACCTGGGAGAAACCAAAACTGATGAGAACACCAGCAAATCCAGATGTCTTAAGAAGGACTTACCTACTTTACAGAGAAAATGTAAGCTGAGAACCTGTGATAAGCAAACAAAGGGCAGGGCGCCAGCAAATCTAAAGAAACAACAGCTAGAAAGAAGATACTCCGTTAAAATCATGTAACCTAAGAACCTGGGATGAGTCAAAATTACCAGAAAGCAAACACATTGGAAAAATGCAGCAGTCTGGACAATGTTTAAGATTCCACAATCCACATGCATAAGAAAACATAACACATCGACAGGCAGAACGAAGCGTCAAGGTTTCCAAGTTACATTTGTGGACCCCCCCTTTGCTCATCAGACAGGGGCACCCAAAAATGTAACTTAGAACGTCCCCACGTATAAAGTTACATTTTCCTGGACCCCCTCCCCCCCCCGGGGGGGTATGCCCCGAAAAAACGTGAGGGGGGGTCAGCTTACATTTGTTGGAGGGTGGGGGGGTGCCCAAAAATGTAACTTACATTTTGGGTCCCCCCCACCCTGTTTTCATGGTTAAAGGGGTAGCGATGTTTCTGAAGATCACGAAATAGTTTCTGAAGATCGCGAAACAGTTGTGAGAAATGGTGGTCGGTGCACGTTTTTGCCATGTGGTGGCTTTGACTTGAGACCGCTGACGCATCCGCAGTCAGCGCTGGCTCGCGTGTTAGAAAACATTTGCTTCGGCCGCGACCGCTTGCTTTGGTAGCTTTGTTTTTACTTCGCACTCCGCATTGGTAGCGGAGCCCCCGAATACCGGGGGCCGAGCAATGGCAGAGCGGGTCCCCGTGCCTGAGTGGGACGCCGCTGCAGGGCAGCGCCCTGATCCGGCTGAGCCGGTACGCACTCCTGGCAGCGCCAGTGATGGACAGCGTCCACATGACCAGGCAGCGCCTGGATCGAGTGGTCTGCCGACCCCAAATGGTGGTTGCTTGCCACCTGGAGGCTTCGCAAGGATCCTTGCTGATATGAG